GCAGCCGCCTCCCCTACCCCTGACCCCATGCAGGCCATGCCGAACCCAAGGCAGCCTTCTCATCAGTGCCCCCCGCAACACGGTCCGAAGCAGGGATCCCATCCTTACTGGAGTACCCTCAGCCTCTCGCCAGTATAGGGGTCCCACATGATCACGTTGGTGTCGTAAGAGGCCGTGACAAGCAAGGCGGAGTCGGGGGAGAAGTCACAAGAGACAACACTGCTTTGGTGGCCCTCTAGCTTCCGGATTAACGTGTAGGACCGCATGCTCCACAGGAACACCTGTGCGAAGGAACAAGTGCCCGGTTAGGGGCGGCGACAGTTTGCACAGCAAGCCAACGACACGGCAGTGCCGGGTGAAGCCAAGCTCTCCACTCCGCGTCACAGAGGCTTAGGTGGAGCACCAGCTCGGAGCTCCTGAGGTGCCGACCAGCGCACAAGTTCGAAGAGCGCAGTCTAAGGGAGAGTACGCCCAGCCAAGCTCAGGAAGACTACCGGCTAAAGTGTACCCGTCGAGGCTTCTCGGTTCTGCTTCTGAGCCCTGTTTGCAAAATCACACCGTGTGCTGATAAAGCACTATCTTGTCCTCTCAGTTAAAAGCAAAAATAGGGGTCAGAGATGAGCCCCGGGGCTCCCACCAGAGCGGTGGCTCCTTGCCGAGCCATTTTACACCACGTGTTTACAGAGCAGTGGGAATGTGCCCCACAACTGTGCGGACGTCTGACACAGCTCATCGCTTGAAATCTTTTTGAGAATCATGAAAAATGGGATTTTATTTTCTCCCCTTGAAGAAAACTTGCCGTCACGTAGTTCCAAACCCCAAATGAATGATTAACCACCTGGGCCGTACCACACAGTGAACTCTTCCCTTTGCCGGCTCAGTCACAGCAAACAGCTCGATGCAGATGTAAAATCAGACAAACACACTGTTCCCAAATTGTTCTTGGGTTTCTAATACTTTCTTAAACAACAGGACTTCAGAACAAAGTTCAACAAGTAACCGTACATTCTGATTTGAAATGGAAATTCCCATCACACAGATTCAAATTAAATTGTTCAAAGGAGGGAAATTGCGATTCATATAGGGGTTGCAACTTTCAAAATCTCGAGACTCCAAGGGGAAGAGATTTAAAAAGCACACCTTTACCGTTTTGTAAAGGCAAACAGCCCTCCTCCGGTGATGAGGGCAATCCATGTCCTTCAACACCTCCTCTCGGTTTATGTCAACACGCAAATCAAGAGAGGCGACGACGTACAGGAGGACCCGGCCCACGAGCACGCGTCCTGCCGGGGCTGCTTTGCAGCCGGGTTTGGAGGGGTTTGGAGGTGCGGGCCCTACCCACCCTCTCCCACACCAGGCCCGTTCAGGCCTCCTGGTCTCGCCGCACGCGGGCAACGGAGGCAGCGCCCGACATGAGCCTTACCGACTTCTCTCCAGCGGCCGAGCACAGCATGCTGCAGTCGGGCGAGATGGAGCAGCAGTAAACCCACTGCAGGTGGCCCGAGAGCACCTGGATCTGTTTACCTGCACAGAGAGGGGAACAGGGTGAGCCAGTTCGCGAAACCACGCAGCCGGGGGCCCGAAGGACCGGGAGGCATGGCCGACCCACCTGGTGTCCTATCGCCTGAGCCCAAAGGCCCCTTCTTTTCAAGGCAGAGAAAGAAATATGCCAGGAGTTGTCATTTAAACACCTGAAATCTATTTATACGACAGTGTAATCCCCAAGGAGATCACTACCTTCTGTTTCACCAAAATCCCCAAGACTGGTGCGATTAAGGCTGTACACAGATCAAATCTGACAGATCCCTTTGCTAGCAGAGAACATTCTTTCCAGGGCCCCCCAACCACCTCTAATAGTTGGGAGCATCCTTCCAAATGTGAGAATGTTTTATCTTCACTCCTGTCATTGACGCTCTGTAATGGTCTCCCCCTCCCAAGGGTCCCACCGCACACTCTCACCCTCGCCAGGGTGTCTGGCTGAGCCACCGCGCAGAGCAATGAGGCCCACGTGCTCTGCCGTCAGGCGAACCCGGGTTTGAACCCGGACTCCGCTGATGACTCAGCACGTGCCCCGGGGCCACTCACAGAATTGCTCCAGTTCTGAGTTTGGGGGAAAAATTAAAGGCCCATCCGTAAGCATAACAACAGAACAGGTAAATACATGGAATACGTTTCTACCCCATTAATTCAGATGGTATTAAGGATCTAGATTTTCCATGTTCCGTGGAAAAAATGTAAGGAATATGAGTCTATTTTTGTGGAACGACCACAAAGTCTGTAAGTGTGTCTGAGTGTGAGTAGGACGCTGAGGGAAATACAGAAGGCTCTTAGCATGGGTCCTGAGGCTGCAGGGGGATTTCCGGGAGGACAGTCGAGGGGAGGATGAGATAGGGAAAGAGACTGGGGTGAGGGGGTGAAAACCAATACAAAAAAAAAAGGAAAAAACTTTCATGAACGTATATACTGCTGCAAATGCATTTAAGAGTTTGTGTATACACATATATATACATGTGGGTGTATATAGTATTTTTGTAAGAAGTCATGGTTTCTTCAGCTATCACGTAAGAGCAGTCCCAAGCACCCGCCCACCCCGGGTGGTTCTGAGTGCTGAACACATTTAGGCAGGATGGTAGGGCAGGGCCCCGTACCCAGGAACACTACTTCATCCCCGCCCCTCCTGAGAAAGCCCTAGTGTACTCACCCGCTCCCAGCCCCCTTCAGCTAGTCCTCCCTTCCCAGTCACCGGAAGATTTTAAAGTCACTTCAAGAATCTTCCTTACATGATGGCAAGCTGCCTCTGGATACACATTAAAAATGGCGCTGCCCTGGAGAAGCCTTCCCAAGCAGCCGGCCTGTCTTGTGACTTCAAGTTCCGCAGTGAAGGGCAGAAACTACCAGAGTTCTCTTGGCACCAGATGCCATCAGAGGAGGACACCACAAGCACCTCCTTGGCAGTGGGACAAGTCATCAGGCTGGAGTCTCAGAGGGCAGGAGTAGGTCCCCTCTCGTGGTTGGGGGGCTGGCACAGTCACGGCTGAGGCACGAGTACCAGTGCCTTGCATTACTGGGGGCGACTGTGCCTCTCTATCAACTGTCCCCGTCGCCGTTTCCTCCTTCCACCTCCCTCCGGCCCCTGCATCCCTGCCCATGTGGGGAAGAAAGGGCCTGACAATAAATTCCTCTTCCCTGTGTCACCTTTCTGGTTAGATGTACGGGCCACCTCTGTATACAGTTCTGCTCAAAGCAAAATTCCGCAAAAGTTGACCCCCTCTAGCTAAGCGAATCCTTCTGGGCAAAGATTCCACTTCACAAAGAAACTATTTCTAACAGGAAGTAACCAATACGGACGACCTCCTCTAGACTGGTGGTTCTCAAGCCGGGGAGACGATGCCCTTCACGTGGACGGGGGGCAATGGCCGGAGACGCTCTGGCTGTCACAACTAGAGAAGACGCTTCTGGCATCTAGTGGGTAGTCCAAGGATGCTCCTCAACATCCTGGAGGGCCCAGGACAGCCTATAACAAAGACTTAGCGTGCCCCAGATGTCAATAGCGCCACGGCTGAGAAAACTCACACCACAGCATCTATTTTCAATAGGAGTGATTATCAGTAGGGGTCAAAAGTGCTGCTCAGTAACCAAAAAAAAAAAAATCTTACCTTTTTCTTATGTACAAAGCATAGATATGCATTCAGTGCATAGACAGTGTATTTTTGGTATTAATATCTCACAGGGACGAGGTGGGTGTGTGATTAGAAAAAAATGTCTTTCACGGGTCCTTAGGAAAATCGGTTGAGAAACACTGTTCTAAGACAAAAGTGAGAAGGGGGCAAATAGAGTATTTTGGGGAGCTGCCCAGCAGTTCCATCACTTTCATACCATGTTTGTTCAGGTCCCAGATGCGAAGAGTCTTATCGCGAGATGCCGAGACCAAAATCAAACTGCCACTGGGTGTGAAGCTCAGATCTCTCACGACATCTTGGTGGCCGGAAAGATTCAAAAGCAGGAGCCCTGGCGTGGGAGCAGGGGCACTCGGTCAGGGAGAGGCAGCACCTGGCCTGCCGGTCACGGCTAACACCCCTCAGCCACCTGGGGGGCCGGTAGCCTGTCTGGTCCCTGATGAGAACATGCATGCATCCTGGGACCTTGCCCCGGCCAGAAACGACCTACCTGTCTGCACCTCCCAAATCTTGATCTGCCCGTCATTGAGTCCCGTAGCAAGGATCAGGCAAGAGATGTCTGGCACTTGGGCATGGTGGCGTGCCCAGAGCTTCCTGCTGGGTGGAGAAGGCCACGGGCTAAAGGCCAAACCCCAGACAATCTGCCCACAGTCCAGAGTCTTCTCCTTTGGGCTGCCTCGCCCTTTTGTATCATTTTTGCTGCTTCGGCTTTTGGCTTCAAACCCTTTAGGGATGCTGGAGGAAGCAGAGATTCCTTAATGAGTCAAAAAGTGTCACCAAGTCAACCAACTATTCATTCCATGATACTAACACATTAAGGTTCTAGAAACAAATTGGCCTTTGGTGAATTTAATTTCTTTTTAGAATTCATGTAACAAAGACTTCATTAGCCTTGGTTCATCCCATTTGTGACAGCCCTGCAGTGGGGTGACCTGCCTTGTGGGATAACTAGATCACAGAAGCTCCAGGGAGCCCTACGCTTCCTCACAAAGTTCTCTCAGGTTTGGTGCATGGAAGGAAAGATGCACTCAGTTTCTCCCAAGAGGAAGAAAGCATGCCGTAGGTTTGGATCTAGGACAGATCTTAGAACTTGAATACCCATCTGCTGCTCCCCTGCCTGATGAGCCCCTAGCTTCGAAAGGCCCAAGGAGCAGGAAAATAAATCCTTTTCTGGCCCACACATTTGCTTGGTACAAGCTGGTTTCCACCTTCCCTCACTATGTTCCAAGTAATTAGTGAGGCTCTTTCACTTACTTCTCTGGGTACATCCAGCACAGGAACCGACCAGTGGGGAGATCGAGGAGAGAAAGAGCCCACGACTGCAGAGCTGCACCGACCTCAAAGATCCCGTGGCCTGAACCGCTCCTTTTACGTTCTACTTACGGTGAAACACGACCCAGATAAGCTCTGTGAGACTCACTCCCTAAGATCTAGGCCCTGCCCACCACTGCCCCGGCAGACCACATCTCATAGGCTTGAGCAGCTGGACAGCCCTGGGATTCAGCCCCCAAACTCGAAGTTTCCTGTCTGCAGTACACTTTATCAGTGCAAGTATTAAGTTCTACTTTTCTGTGTGACCCTGACCACATGCTGGGATGTATCAAACTCAGGGAAATGAAGATGATGAAGCTGGAACCCAGTTCCGTGAAAAATCCTATAGTCAACGTATATGTAACTGGACCTCTCTATGCCTCAGACTTGTTCCCCCAAAGTTGGAAGTAAATCATATTTTTGCCAAGTGTGTGGTTGAAATATATAGAAGAATTTAAACCAAGCTCACCTATAAAACTAGAAGGGAGGAATTGAGGCAAATATAGGCTCCATCAGCTCTAAAACTCTTTTAGTCCAAATCAGAGCTTGGCAAGCTATGTCCAGGCCAGCATTCTGTTTTTACAGATAAAGTTTTATTGGAACCACGTTCATTTGATCACACGCCGTCAATGGCCGCTTTCACGCCCTAAGGGCAGAGGGGAGGAGTCTCAACAGAGACCAGATGGCCCCCCCGAAGCCAAAAACATTTACCACCTGAGCCTTCAAAGGAAACGTGTGCTGACCCCAGGTCTCAATGGCCAAATGGAGTTTGAAAACTTGTTGTCCGGACAAGCATCCGAATGTGATAATGAATGTCTTTTCGACTGACCCTGCTCAATCCCCACACTTCACGGAGCTGCCTGGCCCTGGCGTAAGGGCCTCAGTCGGCCATCCAGGGAGGCAGCGTGGAAAAGGCAAGCTACAGGGAAAGCTCTGTAGGACAGCTGGGTGCCATCGAAGCCACTTTTGTTTTATTTTTTATAAAATCCTAAATTCTGCATTCGAACTAAGGAATAATCTGTAGCTACCTTATTCCACAGGAATTAAAGCACATATGCGTATTAATTCATTTTAATATAAATTTAATTTCTCTAGAAAGAGATACTAAACCCTCCATTTTAGGGGTAGTTAACTTTCCTAGGGTCACAAAATCGGGGGGCCAAACTGGAACTAGAACTCAAGTCTTGGGTATCCAGGCCTACTACTCACTAGATCCCCTGGACTTCTGAATTTGCCAACGAGTCAAGGGATGAGTTACATGGGAGATGGGGGGTATATGCATGGGAAAGGAACAGCTAAGGGCAAGGCAGAGTCAGTGGGGGAATTTAACTTCACTGAAATTCAAGTTTCTAAAAACTGCATTTCTAAAAGTAGTACAATTATTTGGTTAGTACCAATTATTCGCTCAGTACTAAAAGCACTATTACTTTTTTTAAATATGTAACAATCTGAACAAGAATCTAACGACTTCAGATTTCCCCTTTTAAAGGACTTTTAAAATAACAAATATTTTCTCCCACTCCCCCTGCTTGTGTTCTGCTCTCGCTATGTCTCTCTCTGTCAAATAAATAAATAAAATCTTAAAAAAAAACAAAAACAAAAAAATAACAATTATTTTCAATTATAAAAGTAATAGAGAACTGTGGGAAAAATTTGGAAGTGAGACAAGTAATAAAATAAAAATTACCCATAATCCTAACACCACTCTAACCACAGTAAACATTTCACTGTAAGTTTTTATTT